TTAGGAAAGAACCACTTTAGTTCCACATTTGCTTATTTTGACAGGAAGATTTCCAGGACGTTCGTTATAAGCGGTTGAATATTGCCCTTTTTTTCATCATTTTCTTCTACATTTCTGATGCCAGGAAGTGAATTATCTCCCTGAAAAAGTGTACTATTGATAAAATTATAACACTGCCAGAGCCCTGGAACTACATTTCAAAGTTTCATGACCTGTTAAACTATTTTCAGTTGTATTTTGGCTTCTTGTATTGTTACTTTAAAAGTTTTTATTAGTACAATGTATTCACCTTTCTATTCATCCAAGCAGATACGAGTAGACATTATCCTTACAGTGTGAAACCGCGTAGACAATGTTCAGGTCTAAGAAACTGTATAAGTACTGTAGTTAGGGCCACTTTGACAAGCTTTGTTTTTAATATGTTAGAATCGTTGATATTGTATCCACTTTTGTGTACCTGTACTACTATATACTGTAGTATAAGGTTTAAATATAAAATGCAGCCAGTGCAAGTATAAAATGCTTCCATATGTTATTCTAGCTCATCAAGCTAGATATAAATGTATCAAAACAGTGAAAAATGGTTTTCCTGACAGTACAGCTACACATATTACAAAACGACTACACAGAAACAATGAGTTTTTCACATTTTATTCCCTACATGATGTAGGTCAAAAAACAGTCATCATGCAAACAAGACATGGAGGTCAAAGGTCGACTTCACGGGTCAAATGTCGACACCACAAGAGTTCAAAGGTGACTTTACAGGGGGGGGTCAATATCAGGCCAGTACACAGGAATGTAAATGGTTCTATACAACCAACATGAGGAAAATTTAGTTATCTACTTAGTAGCCCTTGGAAGATAACATTTCATGGTTCTTTCATTTTGTTAATTGTTTAAAGCCAAGTTACTAGGCATTGTCACAGACTGACTTTAAAATCTTACTTACAAGAGAGGCTGAAAACTATTTGGAAAAAACAGTATATTCTGATGGTAAAATGTAATGACATCAAAACAGTATGCTCTCAAGAGATCTGTTGTTAGTGAAGCGAAACAGGTAATGCACAAAAAGCACTCTGCGAAACAGTACAACCATTTGAATTGCAAGAAATTCAAGTTGACAAAACTGCAATCTAACTATTTGAATAAGTCAGATTTGTTCAACTGAGCAAACTAGGGCTATACCAACTACATGTACATGTACATGTATGCAGTAGTGGCTTTTAACATTCAGATTTGGTGGCTTCCAAGTTGTCAAACATTTTGTACCATATGTGCATACATAAGTCTAGAACAGGGATTGACTATTGTGTTATTGCAGTACTAAACACATATTCTCTAATCTCCAAGCAGATGTTTGGAGGGCTAACCAATTTTCAGGATACCCTCTCTGTGAGGTACATGTTTACATGTACATGTGTAGGAGACAAAAACAGTGCAAGATCCACTTTAAACATCTGCTTGAAAATTAAATTTACAGGTGTTCTTATCTGTTATAGACTTTATCCTGTGTGAATCAACATGAACATTTTCCTTATAAATGTGTTTATGGCTTGTATGGATATCAAAAAGGACAGAATCATGTATGGAAAATTACAACTGGCCGAACTGTTTGCTGATTCAGAAATATATCAGTAGTACATTGCAGTTCCAAGGCAACAGCAGAACAATCAACAAAAACAAACTTTAAAAACCAAAACACAAAACCAAAAGCTGTACAATTTTAAAGGATTGAGACGTATTAAAATGTGCTGGCAAGATCACATGGATTTGTATCAGTTTACTTTGCTGTACAGAAGTATATAAGCTTGTCATAGAAAGCCCAGTAATTAATTCACATTACATATGACACGTTTGCACACATTACCATGGATACCAGGCACACTGAGGTCACAGCAACAGCACAGCACACCAAAGGTCACAGGTCAAGTAAAGGTCATCAGAGGTCAACTGAAACTGGGTTGCTACAACTTTTGGCAACACCACAGGGGTGGAGTTAAGATCTATTCTTATAGGATACTGACCATTTTTTTTTACTTATGTTTTAAATTTTAGTTCCAGAAGCCTCTGAAGTCCTAAACTCTAATAATTGACCATGTGGTTACCATAATAACATCAGAATATTCACATATTTTTGTGCTGAACAAGCAGCTAAGCTGTAATTTGCATGGACAATGTAAATGTGGTTGTAGTACACCTATCAATGTACACCCAACAAGGGGGAGTGAAGATGCATATAAAAACTTGAGGACCCCCTCTTTCCAAAGTCAATACATGAGCAGTGGAAGAGCTTCAAGAGGGGTTTGTCTTATTTTCCCTTTAAAATGTTTTCGGAAGAAACAACAGTAGTAGTGGTAATGTTAGTTTGTTCTTCTTTTCCAGCTTAAACCAGCTCTGACTGGCTCTCACAACCAGTTTCACACAATGAGGGCTAGGATCAGGTACATGGACTATGTCAAGTTGTTGCTACAAACACTGTGATAGACTTCGTATTTTGTACATTTGTCGTGGTAAGTACAAAAACTGTCAGGTCAATGTTTCAATCAATCAATCAATGTTGTTCTTTAGGAAGGTTTTCATTGGTTGCATTGAATAAATCAAATTTCAAGAGGTTCCAAGATTTAAAATTGCCAGAAAAATGTTTGTGTCGGCATACTTTGTTTGAACAGTTGTGTAAGGACATTTTACAAAGTAACGTTATACATGTGGAAATAAAAAAAACGCTTTAAAATTTCACATCTAAAATCATATCATTGAATTAAAAAGCAATTTTAGTCATTCATGTATCAAAAAACATTTTTCTAGTTCATCTTCACTACTTTTGATATACTAGATTATGTACAAAACAATTAGCACCAAGACAGGAAGCAGAGCAAAGAACAGATATAGCTACATTTTTGGGTATTTTGGTAACAATAAACTGGTTCATACTATCAGGAAAGTTCATCAGATTCTGTGTCGGTAGTTAGATGTTAAAAGTTAATTACTTTTGACATAACACAAAGAAGTTCTTTCACCTAGAGCTTTCGACCAGTCACTCTGGTCTTCCTCAGTAGACTGACCCAGTGAGACTTGTCTTGTGGCTTCTTTGTCATTGTCTACTAGATACCTTTGACCCAGTGTTGACGTTACACTTCAAAGAAGCCATGTGACAAGCCTCACTGGGTCAGTCTACTGAGGAAGACCAGAGTGACTGGTCAAAAGCTCTAAGTGAAAGAACATCTTTGGGTTGGATAAAAAGTTTTACCTTTAAGCAAACTAGTTCATAGTTTGAACAAAATTTCAGCAAGAAGTTCTGACTACTGAAACTTTTTTTGAACGGATACAACAATTCTAAAATTGAGTCCCAACATTCTAACACCAGAAATTTGGACTTACCTTGCCAAAGATACTCTCAATAACTTCTGAAAATGTATTTTATTGCTTTTTTGCTATTATTGCACACTGTTTGAAAATCAACTCTACCCGGAAACTACCAAGTATGTTGGCTATCTTTTGTTTTTGTCCAAATTTTCTTTTTATGTTGTTTTATATTACTTTTGTACTTTTGAGGTTTTTGGTAATACCCATTCACTCAACCCTGCAAAATGTGACCAAATAGAACTAAATACATACTTGTGTTGATAAAGGTTAGGCATCCAGGTAATGAGATCCATAAGGAAGCTGGTACTCAAGCAACTGGTTACTAGTAGGTTTCGAAAACTGTCAAACGTTCGTTAAGTAGCCTCCACTGACAAAAAGTAGCAGATCCTACTTGAAACCTATCCACTTGCTTGAATAACAATTTCTTGTGCAAATCTATACCTAGATAATGTATAAACCATCATGTATGTGTTTCTTTTTCTTACCAAAAGTGTAGGCTCACCAATGAAGATACAGTGACCACTTTCTTTGCATGTAGCTTGCTTTCTGCGAGGTGCTCACAGTCAGCTTTACAAAAATGTACATTTCAGAATTCTATACAAACAGTAACTAATTTAAAAGTTTTATTCCCATTAAAAAAAGGGTTTTTGTTGAAGATTTGAAAATGCTTATTTTAAGCAATAAAATTTAAAAGTATTTGGTTCACTTTGTTGTCTATAAGAATTTTTGCGGAATTATAGATTTTGGGCAGAAGATGGGAAAATGTTTTTGGTGTGAGCAGTTAAACTATGTTCATGATAATTAGAAACTTCACGTTCATACTTTGTTACAGCTGACAGTTCCCCTGTAAACAAATTTCTGGTTAAACCCACACAACAATCTTCCAAAAATCATCTGACTGTACAACGTATGATTTTCTCCATGTTAAAGACTATGTACAACACCATCCCCGTTCTCGAAAATGGAACCACCCAACAGCACATAGACTTTCATACAGCTTTGGACTCAATCATTTTCAAAGGGGTGTGAAGAACAATCGGAATCGTTACTCTCACCATCCCTGTACGCCGTACCCCGTGCTCGTGGTGAGAGCAAAGTTACCGTTTCCCCCGATCACGTCCATTCCGGTGACGCTTCCGCCGCAGCCCTGCGCGCCAGTTTCGTCGCACATTTCCGGGAACGAGCCGACGTCGTGAAGACTCGTCATGTCGTCCAGCGTCGACGGCGTGTCGGAGTCCGGTACTTTACTCGGATCAAACAAAGAGTTGCTGTCGAGGTTACTGAATTCCTCCATGGAGGCCAAGTTTGCCGCGATTTCGTTTATCAGGTCCGGAGACGCGCTACCTGACCCGCCAGTCGGCCATGTTTGTGTTCCGAACTGGTCCACGCCATATCCCTGATTTTGCGCTTCGTCCTGACCTTGCCCGCCATTTTGGAAGTCAGTTTGCAGAATGTTTTCTTGATAATTCCCTGCATTCGCCTGTAAGGCATTGCTAACGTCTTCGTAAGTCTGATCATCGGAATAACCCTGAGCGCTCTCCTTCTCCAACAGTTCCGTCAAGTTTCGCTTTGCCGCGTAGGTTCCTACGTTTGCCTGGTTCTGCATGTTTGTGTAGTCTTGGTTAACGTTAACCTGCTGGTTATAGTTATTGAAACCAGCGAGGTTGTTCAGAAGTTCGGGTAACGGCACTGACTGGCTCCTGAAAGTGGTGGGAGGCTGCTGGTCTGTTGGAACAGCCTGCTGCTGTTGGTGGTGGTGTTGCTGCTGATGCATTTGCTGAGTGTACGCCCTCAGCTGCGCGCTCAAACTCGACTGATGGTGGGGCGAATAGAGGATCGAGCCGGATAAGTTTCGATGGCGGTTACGATTCTGCACCGGGTAGCCCATACCCGCTTGGCCTGCTGGGTAAATTGGCGACTGTGGAAGGTGGATTCTCGATCCGGTATTTTGGTTCAGCCCGCCGTAACTCGTATCCATCTGGTTTCCGTGCTCGATTATTGGAGAGACCGGCGTGACACTACGACTGCTACACGGCGAAACCAAAGGGGACGTCAGCGAGGAGTTTGACCCGCCAGAGAGGTTGCGGTGAGGATTTCTCCTCATGGCGTACGCCGGGTGGTTGGAAAACCTGTTCTGACCAAGCCTCTCCTGAATGAACCGTTGTCTGATTTGCTGTATGTGGTCCTGCCCGTTGGTCGGGCTCCGAAATACGGCTGCACTCTCGTTCGGGTTGTTGGGGTTACGGAACACAGAACCGCCGCCGAGCTTTTGTACGCTGCCGTTGTTGTTGCCGCCGCTCCTCTGTGCAATGGTCTCTTGATAACTGGGTGGGGGTGCGGTCGACTGGTGGAAGGGTTCCCTTGCTGTTTGTCTGCCCATTCAGGGTTGGAGTTGGAGTTGTTGGCGTTGAAATGTGTCGCCCGCGGTCTCTGCATCGGCTTGATGGGACTGGACGTGTTCATGCTGATGTTAGCGTCGTCGTACACGGGGTTCTGTTGGATGGGCATGAACGAAAACGGTTCCCGCGGATCCACGGGACTTGGTGGTACACTATTGGGCGCAGACATGGACATACACGTCGGCGTGTGCCTGGGAGTGAGCATTTCCTGGGTAGGGGTGGCCCTGGGAGTGCCCATTCCCTGCGTAGGGGTGGCTCGTGGGGTGGACATTGGTGTGGTGGACTGGATCACCTGGTCCACGGCGTCCTGGACAACCTTTTGCTGCAGTTGTATATTGATCTGTGTCTCCTGTGCGAGAGTGGTATAAGCCATCATGGTATCCTGTCCTAGTGGAACCTGCTGCCTCGTGGCATGTTCCATCTCCATAACGGGGGAGGGCAGGTTGCTTCTCGGGGTGGGAGTGTTGGTGTGAGAAAGTGGAGATGTGAGGTTTGCCCCGTACTGGCAGTCTACCAACTCTGCAATCTCCTGCAATGGAGTGTTGCCTTTGCTTCTTGTCCCTGGGGTGCTTGGGTTGGAGGATGCCAGTTTTGAGGAGGGGTGGGAAGGTTGCTGCATGATGTTCCTAACTTCCTGATTTGGTGAGAGCAAGTCCTGACTGGGCGTGGTCAGCTTCAGCTCACCACTGTAGCTCTGGTTGCTAGGCGGGGCCTCCTGTGGCAACCTGTTGCTATTAGCAACTAGCGTATTCACGTTAACAACCTGCAATGGAGGATTCTGAGGCTGTCCATGTCTTTGCTGAGTACTGGCCACTGTTTCTGTGCAGAGGGATCCTTCTTGAGGTGTATTTTCTGACTGTACCACGTTCTTCTGTCTGTTTTGTGACGTGTTGCTGTTTGTCATCCTTTCTTCCCCCACCCGGCTCACAGCCAGTCGTTTTGCGGGTGAAGCAGCCTCGCTAGCTGGTCTCTTCTCCGAAGCTGTACCCGTAGCCTTCGCCTTGCCTGTTGCCGAAACAAGGGATGATGTAGTTGCCATGGTAACAGATGTTGCCTTGGCAACAGACGTTACTGTAGCGATGGGAACAGCTATGGCTGTTTCACTGGTTGTGGTGTATATTTGTGGAAGCGCGACGACTGCGGTACCAGGTTTCTGATTGGCTGCGACTTGTCGTGTTGCCAAGGCGGCGAGCTGCCCCGACGCACTCGAAACGGACGCCGACGGTGCCCCCGTAGTTGCCAAGGAAACGACCCGGATGATTGGCGCAGCGCCGGTAGAGAGGACGGTGCCGACAGGCATGGCCGCGGCTAACGGGTTCTGGCTTGATACAGCAGCGTTCAGTTGCAACGAGGTAGTTGGAGTGGTTGAAGAACAAGAGGACGTGGTCACGACGGGAGACACCAGTTTGTAGAAGTACGGCAGCGTCACCGCAATCGTCGGGATGCTGCCCTTCGGAGTGACGGCCACGCTTGCAACCGCCGCCCTTTGCATCGAAACCTGTCCGGTGGCCTCTTTTCTCCCAGACTTACTGGCCTGCTTTCCAAAGGCACTGTTTAAAGAGTTTCCCTGGGAGGAGTTAGTTGTAGAAGCGACAGTTAAAGTCAAAGAGTCTCTTGACGACCCACCCCCTGCACTCACAGCCTTGTTAGTGTCTGATATGCCCTGCAGGACAATCGTTGCTGACATATTTTCCCCTGGAGCTACCATCTTCTTTGTCTGTCCAGCAGCACTTATTGTGGCAACGATATCCCCCTTTAATTCTTTACCTGAGTTCACAGCGTCTGCACTTGCCTTAGAGGAATCCTGAGTTTTAGACCCATTGTTCAAGGAACTTGATACTCCAGTACCCTGGTCACCTTTTCTACTTGTTGTTGGTCCTTTGTCTTGTGTGTCATGTTTGGTTTCATCCCCTGAGCTAGAGGGTTTCAATGATGTCACAGTCACAGTTTTATCTTTATCTGCCTGAGCAATGGAGGAAGCAGGCACCTGATTGGTTAGAGTCATGGGAGAAGCTGTCACAGGATTGGTCACTTTGATCATGACAGCTGCCACCTGGTTGGTCTGCTTGATGGGGGAGGCTGGTACCTGATTGGTTGGCAGCTGGAAAGACACGACCTGATTGGTTGGTGTTTGTGGAGGGGTGACTGGTTCTGCTGCTTGAGATGCAGGTGCACCCTGTTCTTCTCTCAACTTCCTTAGCTGTTCAGCCTAGAAAAAATGACAGAAAAACACATTATTTCAACAGAAACAAAAAGATTTGTAATTTCTTCTTTAAGGCAATATGTTCTTTGTTCTCTGACAAAAAACAGATTAACCTACATCTGTGTGCCTGCAAAGCACAAAGTTACACCTAAGGTCATGATCAGTTATACCAGCTATACAGACACAAATACTTTTCATGCATAGTGTTGGTTGAAGTGACTCCTGAAGCAAAAAGGGGTAACGTATTTGTAAAACTTTCTAAATATTCTTAACCTTCTCCATGCTGCCTAACCCCACCCAAAAGAGAATTGGTAGATGGCTACTTTAGTGTGCAAAAGGTTAAATTATACCAGAGACATAATCTACCTGTTGTTTTCTGTGGATTTTCCGCTGTAATTGTTGTTTGGCATCGAGAGGTTTGCCGAACGGTGACGGCGACAGTAGCGGCTTCAGCGAGGAGCCCCCATTGGCTGAGCCAGCACGGGGTGACGTTGTGGCCTTGTCGCCCGCGTGGAGAACCGTGAAGGCGGCCGTCGAAGCTCGCGAAACCTACAGGTGAGATACAAACAGGTGAACCATTTATACCTGTCCACAAAAAAACACAACAAAACATTTTTTATTGTCCTGTACTTTTCATCATATATATTTTATATATAATGCGGGGCTTAATTTTTTTTCTCTGCATACATGCACAGTCTGGTGTATGTCAATTGAACCGGACAAATTTTACCTGCACCACTCTCTTGGAGTTGACTTTAGGAAATATGGATCACACCAGAGATCAAAACTGTTCAAAAACCGTAGTCATTATTTCTTTGAATAATTATATAGTTTCTTCAAAATCTAAATGTAAGCCATGGCAATTGAAGTTACAATAAAACTAATTTATATTCTTATTATCATAAAATTCCCTAAACCACTTTACCAAAGCTTAGCCAAAGATGCTGTTTGTAAAGTACCTGTAAAAAGGAACATAAAAGTTTGACAAACATTTCATTCCAATACATTAACACTATGATATCCAACATGTAAATAACAATTTAACTTGGCCGTACCACGTTGTTGAGGATTAGGTAGCGAGCGAGGTCCAGCACGGTGTCGAACGAGCGTTTGAGCGTGCCCTGCGCCCACTCACACACCAGGTAACTCGCTGCCGACACGATCTGGTCATCGTTCTGTTCCGCTGGACATGAGAGGCTCTGGAGTAAGCCTGTAGACGTGTTTGCCTGGTGTAGCAAATAAAACATTCATGGCATAAAAATCAGAACTGTAACTTGCATGTCAAACTAACTTAATATATTTTCTATGACAGCTACAAGTATCCATTAATTTTTACATGCTTCCTGTGGAAAGAAGATGAGCTGTGACACAAGAAAATGCAGAACATTAATGCCAATATGTGGGTAAAATTGTCATAGAAAATTTTGAACATTTTGAAAGGCAAATCATGGGGTTGAGAGTGGTTGTTGGTGATCCTTTGGAAGTTTTTATATTTTTTCCCACGATTTTTGTGAACTTTGCCCATGAAGGTTGATGGATTGGTTTCAAAAATTTTCTGTCACACACCACAAAGTTTCTGCAATTGATGGGAAAACCAGTACTAACCTGGTCTGTCTTAGAAGGAAGGTCCAGGGAGGGGAAAGAGGGAGGTTGAAGTTCCGACTTTTTCCGCAGCCCGCCGTAACAGTACTTGGAGTTCCCTCGAGTGCCCAGCCGCCGCGCCTTCAGGTTGGGGAACGCCATCTTCATCATCTTCCCGAAGTCTGCCGGACTCAGGTTACGATACTTCATGTTATCGCAATATGTCCTGGAGAAAGGAAGAGTGGTATTTCAATATGTACTTGAAAGGTAACATTTGCATTTAAGCAAATGCATAATGTTTACCTTCGTATATGGTCTGCTCTGTTAATTCTAACTCAAAAACATTCATATATATGGTGACAGGAGTCTAAATCCCTACTGCTATAAAATTGCAACATGATGTAATCCAACACTAGATACTATGGTGACAGACCGTCTGGTTCAGGCCATTGACCTTATCTGTTTGGAGAAGAAGAGAGAGAGTGGAAACAGAGCAAACAGTTTTCCTTTGCTGAACATAAAAAGTTGTGAGTTGGATCTCTTCTAGCCCGTTGTCATGGTAACGTGACAACAGGAAAGACACCAGCAACTTTTTTTTTATCTGTGCAGGCAGAAACACAGAGGCAGCAAGAAATGTGCAGCTCTGTACAATATCCTGCAGACAACGGTGCCTGATATAATTATATTGGACTATCTGGTTTGCCTGTACATGTAGGGAGACCATTCTAACATCCAACTTCCTCCTAGCCTCCAGGATGACTACATTGACCTCCAATTCGACCTTTCTGTCAGTCTGTGGTTATACCATTTCCCCTTTCTTTCTGTTACCGTACTGTAACTAACTACAGATGTGTACCCACTCACTTGTATTCGTCAAACACGTCCTGTTTCGGTAGTGAGGTGTCAGGGTGGATCTCTAGATGACTGCGGATCCAGTGGAGTGCATTTGTTTGTTCCACACGAGAGGCCATACTGGAGGGCTGTGCACTGTGGACATCAGAACAAATCTACATGAAGGGGTGGGTACTAAGCAATACAGCAGAATGTACTGCGCCTGTGATAATTTTGATGGTTTTCCTTGGAATTTTTGGTCAATGTTGCATCAGAATTTTGCCTGTTGCAGACGATATCTTTTCCTACATAACATTTGGAAAGTACAGACAGGGTATTAACCCTGTTACATACACAAAAATTACCTTATAAGTTACATGTATATGGGACATTCTGCCGAAGTGCTATGCCAAATACAATACGGGTTTTGTGCGGGTACAGTACGTTCTGCCGATGTGCTTAGGTACTACATGTACAGATAAACTGGCCCAGTATTGGACCCAGGGCTCTAACCATCACAATGTCAAGGGACCAGTTGTGTAAATTCTAAGTGAGCATTCCTAAGGAGTTAGAAGAAACTGACTGCCTTACTTCTGTGGCTTGAACTCCTCATGCTTCCTAGCGCCCCCTGTTGGCAGCTTCAGGTACAGCAGCAGCTTCTCCAAGTCTGAGAAGGACGACACGTCTTCCTGTGTGGGTGGGAAATAATTCGGACAGTTAAAATTTAAACAAATTGGCCGTGATAAAATTCAAATACTGAATTGGATGGTGGAATAACTGTAATTGATATTGTTTAGGGAAACAAAATTTTGGCACATTCTGCAATGAAATGTATGTTTTCTTGGATGGGCATGACATCACCCTCAGTCCCAGCCCTCCCACAGGTCGGTTTTATCGCATGATACAGAACACACTGTGTAGATATAGTATTCTATAAACCGTGCCCCCTTTGCTACTAAGGTTCATGCACTCTAGGTCACTGACCCAGAGGTCACAGAAAGTCAAAATTAAGGGTTCTAAGCCCAACTTTAATCATATTTCTTTCCTTATTATCCTATCTTGCTTATTTCCCAAAGGAAATGTTTAAACCTCTGTACCAGATTTGTAGCTGACATTAAACACATTTGAATTGATCCCAATCGATCAAGAAGGGAGCAGGATTTACCTTTGTCAAGAAGGTTATGTTTTGGTTGTCATTCGTGTGTCTGTAAGTGAGTGAGTTTGCAAACATGATAACTCGAGAAGGCTACGATGGATTGTGTTGATATTTGGTAAGTGGGTAGGTCTTCATGAGACCTTGAAATGATTAGATTTTGGGGTCCCTGGCAGCTTGTTTTGGTACTGCCACTCAACAAATCAGGACCTTATTTGTATACTGTTGAACCAGAGAGGTCACTGAAAAAAAGTGAAAACAAAACCACCACAAAAATTTCAAGATTTACAGTATACAGAGAAAACTATCCAAGAAGACCAGTCAGTCAGGGGACCAAGAAAATCTGGTCTACAAGTGGTTACTATATATATATATATGACATTGTGTGTCAAGGGGAAATTGTCTAAGCAACTACTTTTAGCACCAAAAGTGGTAACATTAGCCTAGTAATCCTTATGTTGAGGTTATATATATCTTGCACAGGTTTGACTGTATCACTTGCATTAACACAGAAAATCAGAGGTCCAACTTACCACAATTGCTGAGATCTTGTCTTGAACTGATTGACTGAAAGACACCAAAAATATGGGAACAGTTATTGAGTTAATAATATTTTAAAGCATTTTCCATGGGTACTACTGTGCTTAAGCGTTCTTTCTTTTAACAAAGACTGGTGTGTTAAAGGCATTCAGGGTAATTTGAAGGCGGCAAAACTGCCAAAACAAAGTCAATTTTTGTGCCATTCATTTAGTTTGAATCAAGCCTATCCCATAGCATACTGATATCTGTGAGGCAAAAATGCGATGTCGCTCATCGGATGGAAAACGGTTGCTTGTTTTGTATCGTAGGATGGTTCTAAAGCTACCGGTATTTACAATGTATGGATGGCACTCAAAAAAAAAATACATGTAGAGGCCTCACATAGCTTGTTTTGGTGGTATTTCAAATGGTTCAAGTATCAAATGTGCCAAGAAGTGGCTATAAATGTCAAAATCAGACAGATTTCCTCATCCAGAATACTTTTTTTTTATTCTACTGCCCTGAAATTGCATCGGATGCCTTTAATGACATGAGGACATGCCTGACCATAAGTCACTGGACAACACAAATCCACTCTATACCCCAGAGACCCCTTCAATTTGTCTTATCAGGCAAGTATGCGATTTGTCATTGCAAGCTCTCGTTTTATGACACCTCACGCACCCAATACACATGATACAATGTTGCATCAGGTGTTATATAATATCTATATCACACCATCTTCCCAATGTGAAATCGTATGCAATTTTGATAGAGGTTTTTCTGTCATAGAAAGATTAAGTTTCTAGTTAATCAATGATTTTTCAATTATAGTGTAGATGTGTGTGTATATTCTTTCTTTCTTCTTTATTTCAGGCATCCATGGCCCATATACATGTAACAGAAATATGTATATATGCATTACATGACCTAATTTTGGCTCCTATCTAGTGAAAGAGTCTAGATAGGAAACTTGCTTCATTGTGGATATTTATGTACAGGTACTTTGATTTTAAAGATTAAGCATCATAAGATTATACATTGTATACATGTTTGTATACATGAATGCATTCCAAAGGCTGAAAATGCATTCAAATGTAATTAAGTTGAGAAGTTATGGCTTGGTTATGAAATTACATGTATGTAAAATGATGTAAAAAAAGAATTTAATCTTGGTATTATTGTAATTTGCAACTTACTTTTATATAATTTATAAAAGGTATGTTAACTGGGTAATGGCGAAGGGGGAGGGGGGCAGAATTGGAAGTGTCTAGTTTTGGGTCTTGTATAATCTGACTCAATAATGTTCAAAATCTAGTAAATAATTTCAATGAATAAATTAATCTGTGGTCTACAATAAATGTATTTGGATTTTGCAAATTCTCAATAATGGTGCTACAAAATGCATTTAAGAAAGCATATTGATTCTTGCCATTGGTTGGACAAAGGTCACCATAAATAGCTTGAAAGCAAAGAAGATAGAATTACCTGTCAACATGGCATGCTTTTATTGGTCATCAGGACAGGATTTTATGAGAAACAGTGCTCTCAAGAACGGGCAATTCAGGAGTATATTGGGTCGTATCTCCACCCCCTTTATAAATCTATCATCCAGCTTGTTTACAATTTCTGGGAATTTCTGTAAATGCTTTATTATGTTTGATAGTTAACTTTGATCCTACTGTACATGTGTTTACTTCTTATTATCATTGATTTAAATGATCACCCTTGAAATATAACTATTATTATTATTATTATTAATATTATATTATAATTATAATACTTCCATTTTTTGCCACTATGAACATATAGTTCCGCAAACATGTCCATTTTTCTTCTCAGGCGGCGAACTTTTGCTCCTGCAAACGTCAAGTGAATTACACTATTGCAAGCCCTGGTTATATTATGTAATATACTTTACCCCTTGACAACATTAAAACAATGCAACATTGAACCACAATGTTGCAACATTGAACCATAAGTATGCGTACATACAATGCAATGAATTATACAAACTTCCGTGAACTATCAAGGATAGTTCACTTAAGTTTCTATGATTTATAATGCATAAAACAGTGATTTATGTACCACTATGTATGTAGTCATAACCCTTCCTATGGAATGTCAGTCCACACCCATTTTACAAGTTCAACACTTGCTCAGATTTCAGGTGAGTCACAGTACTCATAGAAGCTATCCACAAATTACATGAGAAAATTCAGGATTTCTTTGCAGAGAATTTAGTGCGACCGGAAATATAGCATTTGAAATTCTTAACATCAATCTGTCAGAAACTTAAGGATTTCTTTGGAGAGAATTTAGTACAAATGTACGACCGGAAGCATTTCAATTACTTAGTATTGTAACATCAGCCTTGACAAGTTGTCCAAAAATTCAGGATTTCTTTGGAGAGAATTTAGTACAACGGGAAATATCGCGTTTCAATCATCAAATGTTGCATCATCAGCCTTGACATTTAGCGGGTTAAATGGCTGTGTGGGTGGACACAACTCACCTTGACATATCTGGGAAAGGGTGGGCCATTTACAGTGTAAAGCCGGGCCAGTTACTGTAAAGCTTACTGTAAATCACGTTATATTCGCGGAAATAAAAGTTCATGAAAAAATGAAGATGTTTGCTGAACTATGTGTTTGCGGTGGTGGCAGGTGCAGCAAAAAGAAAGTCGGCAAATTATTTGTTCACGATAATGATAAATTCACAGTACAGAAGTGACTGCGAAAGCCACAAATATAATGTGATTTACAGTATTTAGAGGCTGATTTTACCACACATTTTGTCTAAAAAGTTAACATAGTGTACATTGTAACATTATTTCGCTTTTTCACAAAATGCCTTTTTACGTCATGTATCCTGCAGCTATGCATACTAGAATGGCCTGCTCTGGTCTAAGTAGGAAAGGTTTGTTTTTACTAAATTTTAGTACATTTCAGTGTGTGTTTGCTTGTGTTTCCATTGTTGTTTCCAAGTTCTGCATTGTAATAATGCACTGGGCTGTACATGTATGTTGACAGTCCACCAACTTAACAGATACAATTGACTATTACATAATATATAACAAGTCGTTCGGTGTGATATAGCTAGCTGCCACCGCACCGCGTGCCTGCGAAGCTGGTGTGTTACGCCGAAGGGCGGTTATACCGGCTATATCAATACAGATACAGATTAATACAGTATTACTGTATATATATATATATTATAAAGTAAAAGAACCCAACACATTTATTAAGTAGTTTGCATATTCCTACCAATACTTTGCCTTTACCAGGTAACGTTAACTACCAATAAAAAATTATTTGCATGTGCCTGCCAGAAACTGACCAAAACAAAAAAAAAATTGCTCCTATGTTTCCTGATTGTCTGTTTCAAGCAATCAGAATCTTTTAAATGACCTCGATACTTAAAGGTTTTAAGGTATAAAGGTATTTCACTTTTCCTATTATATTTAGTTAAAGGTCAGAGGTCAACAAAATGCAAATTATAATCCAGGTAATATTCTTTCAGAATTAAGAATCTGATCGCAGCATTGCTTGAGATCCCTTAAAGATTTTTCCCTTCAAAGAAATTTAATCTGATCCCCTTTAAGCGTTTGGCCAAAAAATACAGGAGCAACCCAGTAACAAAGAACCGGCCTGGACACAAACAACTTGGGTAATTTGAATATGAACAGCTGTGGGTAAAAGGCCATGAAAAGAAAAAGAAAGGGAACACCGTACACCCTCGGCCCACATTCTACCTCTCTCTTCCTCCCTTTCCTTTTGGATTTTTTGAGACAAAAGTATTCACGCTTTTCCTTGGACAAATGTTAGATTTTGACGGAAATAAATTATAAGGGGAGAAATCGCGGGTAAAATCACATGCGGCAAACAATAAGAAAACGAGAGAAAGAGTGACATCATACCCTTTGGCGATTTCCCCCACAAATTACACGGAATATAAAATCACTAAAGGCTGACGATCGTAGAGAAGGTAGAAAAGGACCTACCTGATTGTATTTTCCAGTCGTTTCTGCATGTTCTGTTGTTGAGACGGAGTATTTTTGTCCGGGGTACCGGCGGTGTCCGCAGTCTCCCCCTCATCCCCCATATTTTTTTCGCTCGGGAGGCCGGATGAAGGCAGGAGCAACTTTTGTCAAATCGAGCTCTTCTGCGCCGCTAGAACCGCGCTAACCGCGACTTTCCTGCAGAATTCTCCATCTACATGGTCTGAGGTTTCGTCCTGGCCAAAATCTGAGGGAAATTTCGTCGGAAAACGGGCAGATTTTGGCAGAAAAACACCCCGGTTTGGGGAACTAGCCTCAGTCACTCTGCCATATTGGGGACACGGTCAATTAACCATGGAGGGGTGTAACTGAGATGACGTATTTTTTTAATGTACAAATTACCACGTAAATTTGCCAATTCGGCTAAATTACTCATATTGGATACGTAAAAATTAATTCAAACAGCTTGTAAATGCAATATGTATGAAAGTGTAGGTGTTTACCGCGGTTAATGAAGAAAATAAAAAATACATTTTCCACGCACACCCATATACAAAGTCCAATGATCCGTGCTTTGCAGCTGTGAAACGCATGCGATTTTCATGGGGTCACTAAGGTAAACACGCCCCCTCCCTCCACCCAATACACAAAATTATGCAAAAATAAACAAAATTCTACACATCAAACCTTCAGCCAAACATTGTAAGATTCGAATAACAAAAATTGCATTCTCTTGTTTTGCTCAAATTCAGAGGAATAAAATTGAACAGCTGTTCATCATAAATTTTCTCTGGCAAACAATGCTGAGGATTTAGCAGATTCAGTGACCTAGATTTTACAGTGAAAAGGTTATCTGACTAATGATTAGGAGTGGGAGGTGAAAGTATGCAGTGTGTAGGTGTCTAAATCATGTCTATGTGAAGATGGCATATATATATATTGCACAGCCGAATTTAATTCTCCATGCATGTACATTACCATGGTCGAAGATATTACTTAACGTTAAGCCTAGAAATAAAATCAAAATTTGCACTAAAACTTTATAAGAATTTTCATTTTGAAACCATCAACTACATAATCATTAAGATATTTTATTTGTTGTTACTGTAGTCAAAATTTGATATGAGTTGTGTCTTAAATTTATTCCAAAAAGTATATGAAAAATGCACACACACACACACACACACAATTTTTTAGGTACCATTTCACATTAATACAATGTAGTACCTCTTTCACCAATAAATCACTGCATTTGCATTGACTCATATGATGATACAAAAAGTGTCTACATCATTCCTGGCAGTCCATTTAAAACAACATCAGACATCCCCGGTCAAAGTCGAAGTAAACACAACTTACTTACACCCTGTTTGACATTTACACTGTGACCAGGGTGCGACCCACCCAACAATTAAAACCTATCATAATTCAATGAAAACATACGACAACCACCCTTGAAATTTTGCATCGGATGTCGACAGACGCCGTCGGTTTCTTGGTCATCGTCGAAATCAATTTCTGAGAAATGTTCAGTACAACATTGAAGTGAGTCATCTAAGTGTACATGTACAAGGGGGCATGGTCTTATGTGTTGGTGGGGGGCGCCATGTCAAAAATCTGTCAGCTCACAGAGAAATGTTGACACTTGTCTGGGTGCACCGTCCTCTGGACCTCCTAAGCTCCAAGCAGATATTGGGGGTACTAAATTGTACCGTTGTCCTAGCTGCCCTTCTCGGTGTCAAACTGCCTCGTCATCAGAAAACATTACGATTTATCCTCTCCCAATATCTGCTTGGAGAATGCTCAGTTCCTGCTATGTACAACACTTATCAATAAGTAGGGCCAGGTATTGGTCATGTTTATTAGGACAGTCACAACCATATTATGGATAAGTCAGAAAAATTAAGCGGGCTTCTCAAAAACATTATGATTTGTCCATCCCAATATCTGCTTGGAGATTACAAAACAAAAAATTAATGTTAGTACATTTTTGTAATCAACAAGAAATTGGTGGATCAAAGTAACATGTATCAATAATTTTTCAAGAATTGTTTGCTGAATTTGTAGTTCAACATTTCAAGCTATTATTTTGGCAAATGGTTAAAATGAAGTCAATCACCATGATAAAGAATTCCCTACAATAATTTGGATAAAACTAGACTGTGCAAAAGCTATGGTTTTCATCAATCCAGTAACATTTGAAGTTGTGTATGGTCGAAATCCACAGAAAATTTCTCAAAATTCAACAAAACAAGAACATCATTTTTACCAGGTGTTACAGAGGTTGCTAAGCAACAGAGGTTAAAGGTCAAGTACATAAATAGCAATCAGCAAACAATGCTTTCAAGGTGAAATGTAATGTGCAAACAACGACTTTGCCAGGTCCTAAATCGTTGTTCTTGAACCCTGCGGCAAGAAGTTGTTGACAATCTGGTGCTGGAACCACGCAAGTCAACAACACTGCCAATCAAGTGTGCAACCAACATATTTTCTTTGACCTTGTCCTTGTGTTTCACCTCAAATCACATCACCAATGTTTGTCTAGACTTGGTAGACGAAAATAAACAAACACAGCATATTTTTGTGACAGAGGGAAGATATACTGGCATAGTTGCACCAGAGCAATCCATACCTGTGAACATAAACCTTAAAAAGAGCACTCTTTCCATTTTTGATGTTGCAAAACTGGAAGAGATGCAGTTACATATAAGAAACAAAAGGATGGGTTGCCCATGTTTGATTTTGATAACATTGACCTTGGGTTAGGTTAGTTTTAAGGACAACAAAATACATGAAACCAGTTGTTTTATATCCATATTTTCTAGCCCCAAAATGTGTTTTAAAAAAGTACATGTAGGTGACTCTTTTTATTTTGTTTACTGAGAAATTTTCAGATATTTCTCTCTTTTTCTGATCCATTCCTAATACGACCTGGTCCCTTTTGGAGTAGAATAGTTTTGGTGTTGGTATGTTAGCCTTGAGTCTAGTTTGCTTGTACATTATCACTTTACAGTTAAAACAATGCATATGTGGCAAAAAAAAAACGCTGTACATATTGACTTAGTCTATAAGTTATATAGGAGCACAAACCGATTGTGTGTTTGCCAAAGAAAAGAGGGGTAGCCATTATATCAGTATTTACCATGTAAACAGTACATGTTGGGTAGTAGTATTAGTTGCATTCACTAAGAAAAGATTATATGAGAAATTGAGAATTAACTTCCCCTATCTTTTGAAACTCAATGCAATGGATCATATGTAATGGATAAATGTACAAGATCTACAGTTACTGTAAGTTTTCATTGCTTTGAAGAAAAAAAAGAGAAATCGATGACCACAGTTTGAAACAAAGGACAAAAACGCAACTTTTTTTTTTCAACTTTACAAAGATATTTTCTGTGTAAACTACATAACAAACTGCCCAGTCATCTTTCATCAAACAATGTTACTGGCTTATCCACAACTCAGGAGGGAAAAGGAGATCTTCATGCTGGTTTGAATTTGTTTTTAAAACAATTTTTATGTTCTACAGTACATAGGAAATGCATATTCACAGTGTATTAATTCACAATGAAGAGGTCAAAGAGAAAATAAAACCACCTCGTATGTTTCAAGATTTGCAGTACCTCCGAGTGCCTTTTCCTAAATGTTATCATGAATTTGGACTGGTTACCAACACTTAACCACATATCAAAACTAACATCTACATGTACATACAGGGATCGAAAAAGTACACATGGACCTTAGTGCTGTGCAGGTATTTCTGATGTCTACCTGCACCCAACCTGCACTGGTGCAAGTGCTGGCTTTATATACAAATCTAGCTGTATGTGGATTTTTCTTTCCTGCATTGACTGTTACCACCTCTGAAGTATAAAAGAAATAACGGCAATGGTTTCTGAACAGTTTTAGTATGATCCATACTCTTCAAATTCTGATTGGTACTGGGCAGGTAAAATTTGTAATTTTCAATGTTACCTGCACCAGTGTATGTACGCAGAAAAAAAGGATTCCTAGCCCTGCACTATGACCCATGACTATTCCTTTGCTTTTCGCTTTTTCGCTGACGGTCTCTCGAAGTTCTGTTTCATGCCGCCTGCCTTGTTGCCAAAGAACTTGGTGTTCTGAGCAGAATCCTGCGCCCAGGCGGAGTCAAACTGCGTCGTGTCCTGGTCAACCAAGTGGGTATATTTTGTACGACCGGACCGTCCAAAGTTCTTGACCTGTGGAGAGAAGAGAATGCAATTTTACAACTGTTGCACATCCGAACCTTATTGGTTCTAGAAGTTTCAAAGTTAATAATGAAAAGATTCTAACCTTGAAAGATTCTAAACTTTGATAACAGAATTTTCATGAGAAAATATGGGATAAGACAGTTTATTTTATGTCCAATTCTTATTTACTTTTAGTTTTACCATAATAAGATTTACTGGTATTCATACAGAGGATATTTGAGTATCAGTATGTTTTCTATTTATGTTCTTCCAGTATCATATCATTATGGAATGTAGGGCAGTGCCCATCTCCATTTCTTTGGCCCTTGAGTCACACAATGTTTTCTTTAGTTACTATATATATTGCAGTAATATGTAGAGCTGCACTTTCATACAGACCTGCATGACTTTGGGTAGGATGGTTTTGTCAAAGTGGTCCTCCAGGGTTGGCTGGGCAAAATCACGCTTGTACACATCGCTGTCTCGGTCCTGGAAATATACACAATATTACATGTATCAGAACAAGCTGGCCAATGACAACACTGGTTTTAAAAACCCGCACAGATGATTTCAATAGTAAAAAGTCCTAACCTATATTTGTTGAATGGCTGGGGTTGTTTAACTGAGTTAGACATTGGAAAACAAGCAAATATTACAACAAACCCTGTATGATATCTACATTGTACAAGGTTCTATGTGTTGCATAGGGACATAGCAAATGGTCATAAGTTCCTTGTAAGTTATTGTTCTATTATTTTGCTGCAGTTTTCCTGTTTCCTGCAGTCTTTTCTTGTCTCTATGCTTTTCGTATAAGACCACTTGTCTAAGAAGACCACTTTTCCTTGGCCCCATGGGTGGTTGTCTGAGACAAGTTTGACTGCATTTAATTCATCTTGGACATTGTTATTGTTAAAGATTCATACACTAAGACTGATATAAGGCTGAGTATGAACCATTCTGTTCTAACTAAGCATGGTTAGTCAACATTTCTTCCTCATCTGTGTTGGTGTGTTCCTTACCATGAAGAAAGCTCCTCTGTGGTAGTACTTCTGCAGGAACTTGTACTTGCCCTTGGGCGCCTTGTTGGTCACCTGTTTGGGGTTGGTGCGGAGTTCCGCCCGCCTTTCTTCCTCCGTCATGTTGTGCATACGTTCTACCTCCATCTTCTCCTTCTCCAGACTGAGAAGAAATATAGTCATCCTGTTAACAAACTCACCAACGAAGAAACAGATGCAGTTCAAAAGGACACTGCTAGGTGGGGCTGATGTTGTCACTTTCTGATTTTTTGTGCATAAGTTCTACCTCCATCTTCTCCTTCTCCAGGCTGAAAAGCAAGTCCTGTTAAAAAAACTGACCACAACAAAAACAAAGCTGCAGCTCAAAAGGACACTGCTTGGTGAGTCTGATGATTTTTGTGCACACAGTCTTATCTCCACAGCTTTTGATTTCAATATGTTTATGCCACTATAGCATATTTCAACTGGAAAGCTGTTCAAAAAGATTGATTATGCTGTACATACGATAAAAATTATGCAACCAAAACATTACTACAACACATTGATATATGGCCTAATACTGCAACAAAATTCTTGAAAAATATAACTTCTGTCTAATTTTGATTTGTTTACAAATTGTAGTGGCCTGCTCTATGAATCAAACAATGACAAAGACCTGATTTGTATCAGAAGTCAGAACCCAATGTTGTCCAAAAAATCAACAAAAAAACATACTTTTCCCGCTCTTCGCGATCACGTTTGATCCTCTTGAGTTCCCGTATTTTCCAAGCCTCGTATTCTTCTTCATCGTTATCATCATCAGTGTCGATGTCACCAAACTGGTCTTCTTCTAGCTTGTTGGGGTTGTTTTCGTATTCCTTTCGCGCTATGTCTTCAACAATCTGGAAACAGATACAGAAGAAAGCTTAAAGCTACATTGTGTAACATTAGGATGACACAAAAAGTCATGTTTCTTGTCATTTCTTTACAAAGTAAGTTGAATCAACCCTACTTCATTGCAAAAAAGCGTCATTCAGGAAGTGGAGGTGACAAATTATTACACGGTTAAAAAGTTAAAAAGCAAGATTAAAAAGCTGGAAACACAGCTGTCAGCCATGTTTGTTTACATTCTGGTATTTTGTGGTGGTGCCACAATATGAGTGTGCCTCGTGTGGGGTGTTATATATATCACCAATCATAGGGACATACCTTAAGAGTACCCTTTCTTCTTAGCTCTGCCATCTTCTTGGCTTCCTCTTCAAGTTCTCTCACTTTCTGTGCTTGCTGTTCTCTCTCCTGTATGGTCACCCTTTCCTTTCTGTGGTAAGACACATCAGGATGAATACAATCTTCTCACTGTAACTTTACAGATATCTAGGTACTACATGTAGTACATCTGCAATTTTAAATTGAATAGATGGGGGGCACTGCTTCAAGAAACCAGCAAGATTTTCTGCACAAAACAAATCTTTGGTAGATAGTATACAAAATTTCTCTTTTTACAGAGGATGAAACACACTTTTAATTTTCAACTTGCTGCTTCACAATAAGAATTAAGATAAGTACTTTATAACATTGATATTTTATGAAGGCTATGTGTATCTAAATCACAATTTTTTTGTCAGTTTGTAAACCTACTTTCTGACAAAGACAGGCTTGAGTCTGGGCCCAGCCTCATCTTCACTGTCTGAGTACTCCTCGTATTCTGATGACTCTTCCTCAGATTCTTCTTCTTCCTCTTCTTTTGCCTCTTCTACAAGCTCCATGACTTCCTGTATGGAGAAACACAATGTTCAGTTTCCAAAACTTACCCGGCTATGGTATCCAAATTTATCCTTTTTTCCATTTATTTTTCCATTCCAACAGCTTAGCCCCAAAGCCACCTATCACTTTAGGCCACTGGCCGACTTTGTCACAATTGTGCTAGCTTTCTGGGGATAATAGGCCAGGACAACTACTTGTAGTAGACAAGCCACATAGTAGTGAGCTACAGAATCTAACTTAGTCAATAGACAAAGTTAGGAAAGGATAACTTGATAAATTTGTCCCTCCATAAGCAGGAAATGATGTCTCTGAGGGTTATAAGTTTTAAAAAATTTGGGGGGAGAATACTCTGTGGTCATGATTTTGGGACATGATGCTCGATTTGCACCGTGGAAAGTTGTCCTTCTGTACCTGACCCCTACGCTGCGAAAAATTCTCGGGAGAACCCTGTATACCGTACCTCCTCAGCCTGTGCCCTTTCCCGCGCCCTCAGTCTCATCAGCATACGCCGGCGTTCGATTTCCTCCTCGTCCAGATCCTCCTCCCCGCTGCTCTCCTCTTCCCGCGCCAGCCGCTCAGGTTCATCCTCCTCATCTGCCTCCTCCAGAACCTCCGGCTCCAGGACTCTCCGGTGACGCGCAACCCTGGGGGCGGTAGTCGGTAACAGACAACATGCAGTATCCAAAAGAGACAGGATAGGGTGTTGGTGATGTAAGTTAACTAACAATTAGAGAAGAATACAACTTTGTCGCGGTACTTTTATATTCACAGTTTTCGCAGTCACTTCTTAACCGCAAACCTTTCGTAACTGTATAGTTCCGCAAACATGTCCATTTCTCTCAGACAATTAACTTTTGGTACCGAAAACATAAAGTGATTTACACACAAATTACACTATGTGAAAACATCATGTACATGTATATTCTGAACAACATATGTCTCTACGGAAAATGATGTTTTGACCAAAGCACTTCTTTCAAAACTTTTACTTTTGACAATGTATAATATGGTACTGCTCCATGGCCAAAGCAGGCTTTTCTTACATACATAAATACAAACAAAAACAAACACATCCATGACTACCTATCCAACTCTTCATCGCTGCTCTCGTCCTCCGCAGCACGAGCTTTGAGCAGACGTCTGAGACGGGGGTCATCCACCTCGGCCATGTCAGCAGCTGTTGAACTTGAAGCGGACGGTTGGATGATAACCTCGGTTTGGCGCTTCAGGCGGAAGTCATCATCTTCCTCTTCTTCATCACTGGACTGTGGAGCGTAGTCGGGCCTGTGTAGGCAGAAATGACAGTAAATACAGTGTTCTATATATGTATTATACTTACTTAGCATAGTTTAACCTTAGGGTTCCCTTAGGTTTCTTTTTTAAATTTTAGGGAGAACCCAGTGACCCTTCATAAGTGATGAAATGAACGTTTAAAAAGAATACAAAGTTGGCTTTTGATAAATTATAACTGTAACTAAATTAAACTGTCACAAACCTTTTTCCGGACACGTATCGTTTCACTTTTACCTTCTCCATCGTAATTTCACCTGGTGAAAAAAATAAGGATCATTAAGTTGAGCATTGAGTTTGATAAACCCATCTTTAGTCCAGAAAGGCAGTTAACATACCATCTATTCCCAATCAACCTTGGCAAGACTTAAACGTGCAATCTTTACTTGTAAAGACTTATGGGAGTTTCAACTTCTGCTGCAAAAATTATACACAAAGAAGTGAATCCACTGTA